ACGAGGCAATGCAACCGGTTACACGTTAGACTCTGGTTACACTTTAGACTCCCCGTGCCTGGTTACACGTTAGACTCTGGTTACACGTTAGACTCCCCGTGCCTGGTTACACGTTAGACTCCCCGTGCCTGGTTACACGTTAGACTCTGGTTACACTTTAGACTCCCCGTGCCTGGTTACACGTTAGACTCAGGTTACACTTTAGACTCCCCGTGCCCGGTTACACGTTAGACTCCCCGTGCCTGGTTACACATTAGACTCCGGTTACACGTTAGACTCTGGTTACACGTTAGACTCCCTGTGCCCGGTTACACATTAGACTCTGATTACACGTTAGACTCTGGTTACACGTTAGACTCCCCGTGCCCGGTTACACATTAGACTCTAGTTACACGTTAGACTCCCCGTGCCAGGTTACACGTTAGACTCCCCGTGCCCGGTTACACGTTAGACTCCCCGTGCCTGGTTACACGTTAGACTCCGGTTACACTTTAGACTCCCCGTGCCCGGTTACACGTTAGACTCTGGTTACACGTTAGACTCCGGTTACACGTTAGACTCCCCGTGCCTGGTTACACGTTAGACTCCGGTTACACGTTAGACTCCGGTTACACGTTAGACTCCGGTTACACGTTAGACTCCCCGTGCCCGGTTACACGTTAGACTCCGGTTACACATTAGACTCCGGTTACACTTTAGACTCCCCGTGCCCGGTTACACGTTAGACTCTGGTTACACGTTAGACTCCGGTTACACATTAGACTCCGGTTACACTTTAGACTCCCCGTGCCCGGTTACACGTTAGACTCTGGTTACACGTTAGACTCCGGTTACACGTTAGACTGTCCTTGCCTGGTTACACGTTAGACTCTGGTTACACGTTAGACTCCGGTTACACGTTAGACTCCGGTTGCACGTTAGACTCCCCGTGCCCGGTTACATGTTAGACTCTGGTTACACGTTAGACTCCCCGTGCCTGGTTACACGTTAGACTCCGGTTACACATTAGACTCCGGTTACACTTTAGACTCCCCGTGCCCGGTTACACGTTAGACTCCCCGTGCCCGGTTACACGTTAGACTCCGGTTACACATTAGACTCCGGTTACACATTAGACTCCGGTTACACTTTAGAGTCCCCGTGCCCGGTTACAAGTTAGACTCCCCATGCCCGGTTACACGTTAGACTCCGGTTACACATTAGACTCCGGTTACACTTTAGACTCCCCATGCCCGGTTACACGTTAGACTCTGGTTACACGTTAGACTCCGGTTACACATTAGACTCCGGTTACACTTTAGACTCCCCGTGCCCGGTTACACGTTAGACTCTGGTTACACGTTAGACTCTGGTTACACGTTAGACTCCGGTTACACGTTAGACTGTCCTTGCCTGGTTACACGTTAGACTCTGGTTACACGTTAGACTCCGGTTACACGTTAGACTCCGGTTACACGTTAGACTCCCCGTGCCTGGTTACACGTTAGACTCCCCGTGCCCGGTTAAACGTTAGACTCCTCGTGCCCGGTTACACGTTAGACTCTGGTTACACGTTAGACCCCCCGTGCCTGGTTACACGTTAGACTCCCCTTGCCTGGTTACACGTTAGACTCCCCGTGCCCAGTTACACGTTAGACTCCCCGTGCCTGGTTACACGTTAGACTCTGGTTACACGTTAGACTCCCCGTGCCTGGTTACACGTTAGACTCCCCTTGCCTGGTTACACGTTAGACTCCCCGTGCCCGGTTAAACGTTAGACTCCCCGTGCCCAGTTACACGTTAGACTCTGGTTACACGTTAGACTCCCCGTGCCCGGTTACACGTTAGACTCTGGTTACACGTTAGACTCTGGTTACACTTTAGACTCCCCGTGCCCGGTTACACGTTAGACTCCGGTTACACGTTAGACTCCCCATTCTCGGTTACACGTTAGACTCTGGTTACACGTTAGACTCTGGTTACACTTTAGACTCCCCTTGCCCGGTTACACGTTAGACTCCCTGTGCCTGGTTACACGTTAGACTCCGGTTACACGTTGGACTCCGGTTACACGTTAGACTCCCCGTGCCTGGTTACACGTTAGACTCCGGTTACACGTTAGACTCCCCGTGCCCGGTTACACGTTAGACTCCGGTTACACGTTAGACTCCCATTGCCAGGTTACACGTTAGACTCTGGTTACACGTTAGACTCCGGTTACACGTTAGACTCCCCTTGCCAGGTTACACGTTAGACTCCCCCGTGGCAGGTTACACGTTAGACTCCCCGTGCCCGGTTACACGTTAGACTCCCCGTTCTCGGTTACACGTTAGACTCTGGTTACACGTTAGACTCCGGTTACACGTTAGACTCCGGTTACACGTTAGACTCCGGTTACACGTTAGACTCCGGTTACACGTTAGACTCCCTGTGCCTGGTTACACGTTAGACTCTGGTTACACGTTAGACTCTGGTTACACGTTAGACTCTGGTTACACGTTAGACTCTGGTTACACGTTAGACTCCCCGTGCCCGGTTACACGTTAGACTCCCCATGGCCATGCAGAAACCATCAAGGATTAACAAACTCTCTCTCTTACTCTCTCTCTTACTCTCTCTCTTACTCTCTCTCTCCCCCTCTCTCTCTCTTACTCTCTCTCTTACTCTCTCTCTCTTACTCTCTCTCTCTCTCTTTCTCTCTCTCTTTCTCTCTCTCTTTCTCTCTTTCTCTCCCCGTGGTGATCGCCGCGTGGATTCCTTCCCTCTGGGGGTTTTCCTCCCCTTCACGTTTCACGCCTTGCGTGTCGTAAATGTCCACGTGATGATGGTGGTTGATGGTGGTTGATGGTGGTTTATGGTGGTGGTTGATGGTGGTTTATGGTGGTGGTTGATGGTGGTTGGTGGTGGTGGATGGTGGTTGGGGGTGGTTTACGATGGTTGACGGTTGACGGTGGTTGACGGTGGTTGGTGGTGGTTGATGGTGGATGATGATGGTTGACGGTGGTTGACGGTGGTTGACGGTGGTTGACGGTGGATGACAGTGGTTGACGGTGGTTGGTGGTGGTTGGTGGTGGTTGACGGTGAATGACGGTGGATGCCGATGGTTAACGGTGGTTGGTGGTGGTTGACGGTTGACGGTGGTTGGTGGTCGTTGGTGGTGGTTGACGGTGGCCGGTGGATGATGGTTGATGGTGGTTGACGGTTGTTGACGGTGGTTGACGATGGTTGACAGTGGATGATGATGGTTGATGGTGGATGATTGTGGTTGACGGTGGTTGACGGTGGCCGGCCACTTCCTCGAGCGGCCATTTTGCTTCCGACAAAATGGCCGCCGCCATGCCCCAGTGGGGTCTCGCCCACCTTGCCAAGCGAGCCCAGAATAGTTTTGGTTTGCGTAGCGATTTGCTTGCCTCGTCCCGTGCTCCGCATTGCTCTCGTGCTTGCGTGTGCTCTGTTATTGTAACTTTCTGACCCCCGTCGCCTCGGCTGGATATCTGGGGGCGGGGGGGCGGGGGGGGTGGTGCTGCGGGGGGAAAGCGAGCTTCACAGCCCATCGGATTCCTCCTTCCTGTTGTACGACGGATAAAGATTCCGATTCCAATTCGTGCGGCCAGCGTAGAGCTGCAGGGATTTCCCGAACCTCTGCCCTTCGTAGCGAGGCCATTTGGTGGTTCCCCCGTGGCCCAAGTGAGAACCGCGTGTCTGGAAATCGGCGGCGGCGGCGACGCTTGCCAAGCGACGGGGGCTGAACCTTGCACGTTCCGCAGTCGCGGAGAGACGCCCGCAGAGACGCGGAGACACTGAGACCGTCGGAGAGACGCAGAGGCACACACAGAGACACACACACACAGTCACGGAGACACAGAGACACACACAGTCACAGAGACACACACACAGTCACAGAGACACACACACAGAGACACACACTCACAGAGACACAGTCACAGAGACGCACACAGAGACACACACACAGTCACACACACAGAGACACACACACACAGTCACACACACAGACACACACACAGACACACAGACACAGACACACACACACAGAGACACACACACAGAGACACACACTCACAGAGACACAGTCACAGAGACACACACACAGTCACACACACAGAGACACACACACAGACACACACACACACAGAGACACACACACAGTCACACACACAGACACACACACAGACACACACACACACAGAGACACACACAGACTGTTGGGGTAAGTGCTGCTGTTAGCCAGCGGCAGTGCGGACCGGACGAGGTAGTCACGTGGTTGACCGCACGTGACCCGGCCGCCTTGGGTCCCGCTGTAGCACGCGAGAATTCCTCGTCGTCAGCGTCATCAGCGTCGAGCGCCTTGCGGCGTTCACAACTTCCTGCTCTCGGTCTGATGCAACTGGTGTTTGTGTGTGTGTGTACACGTGCGTGTGTACAGGTGCGTGTGTACAGGTGCGTGTGTACAGGTGCGTGTGTGTACACGTGTGCGTGTGTGTACACGTGTGTGTGTACACGTGTGTGTGTGTGTACACGTGTGTGTGTGTGTACACGTGCGTGTGTGTGTACACGCGTGTGTGTACACGTGTGTGTGTGTACACGTGTGTGTGTACACGTGTGTGTGTGTGTACACGTGTGTGTGTGTAGACGTGTGTGTGTGTACACGTGTGTGTGTGTGTACACGTGTGTGTGTGTACACGTGTGTGTGTGTGTGTACACGTGTGTGTGTACGCGTGGGTGTGTGTGTACACGTGTGTGTGTGTGTCCGGTGGCCCAGCTGTTAGCGCCTCGCCGCGCCACGAACCTAGCGGCCCGGGTCCTGGGCCTCCCCTAGGTCGACTCGGCCTCAAACGAGTAACCTGGTGCCACTGGGGAAGACAAAGGCGGCCGGGCGTGGTGCTGGCCACCCACCCCCTCGTGTGCCCGTTACCGGCCTTCGCAAGCGTTCGCTAACAGCACTTGCCCCGACGGTGTGTTGAGGCTACACGGGGGACCTTTGTCTTTGTATGTGCGTGCAGACGAAAGACATCCTGAACCTCACTCGCCATGGATTTCCTGCCGGCGCTGTTCAAGTACATCGATGACAACCAGGAACTCTACGTGAAGGTGAGTGAGTGAGTGTGTGTGAGTGTGTGTGTGAGTGTGTGAGTGAGTGTGTTTGTGTGAGTGTGTAAATGAGTGAGTGAGTGTGTGAGTGAGTGTGTAAATGAGTGAGTGTGTGTGAGTGTGAGTGTGTGAGTATGTGTGTGAGTGTGAGTGAGTGTGAATGTGTGTGTGAGTGTGTGTGTGAGTGAGTGTGTGAGTGTGTGTGAGTGAGTTTGTGTGTGAGTGAGTGTGTGTGAGTGAGTGTGTGAGTGAGTGAGTGTGTGTGAGCGAGTGTGTAAGTGAGTGAGTGAGTGTGTGAGTGAGTGTGTGAGTGAGTGTGTGAGTGAGTGAGTGTGTGTGTGAGTGTGTGTGTGTGATTGAGTGTGTGAGTGTGTGTGAGTGAGTGAGTGTGTGAGTGTGTGTGTGATTGAGTGTGTGAGTGTGTGTGAGTGAGTGAGTGAGTGTGTGAGTGAGTGTGTAAATGAGTGAGTGAGTGTGTGTGTGTGAGTGAGTAAGTGTGTGTGTTATTGTGTGAGTGAGTGTGTGAGTGAGTGTGTGAGTGAGTGAGTGTGAGTGAGTGTGTGTGAGTGAGTGAGTGTGTGAGTGTGAGTGTGTGAGTGTGTGTGCGAGTGTGTGTGTGTGATTGAGTGTGTGAGTGTGTGTGAGTGAGTGTGTGTGTGAGTGTGTGTGTGAGTGTGTGTGTGTGAGTGAGTGTGTGAGTGAGTGAGTGTGTGAGTGAGTGTGTGAGTGAGTGAGTGAGTGTGTGAGTGTGTGAGTGTGTGAGTAAGTGTGCGAGTGTGCGAGTGTGTGAGTGAGTGTGTGTGTGAGTGTGTGTGAGTGTGTGTGTGTGAGCGAGTGTGTAAATGAGTGAGTGAGTGAGTGTGTGTATGAGTGAGTGAGTGTGAGTGAGTGAGTGTGTGTGAGTGAGTGAGTGAGTGTGTGTCGCGGTGCCGGACGGGCAACTCTGTCGTGGACAGCGCTGTGGGGGGAGATCCAATTTTGATTGGCTCCTCCCCTCATGGCATATGTGTCCACCACAGGGGCTAAACGGGGGCTCTGGACGGGTGCGAGGGGCTGGTAACCCCTTCACCTTCAATTAATTACCACGAAACCACGAATTAAACTGAAATATGTAATAACTAAGCTTGTGCCGGAGGCCCTGGGGGGCCAGGCGTCTATGACGTCTCCTGGCCAAACCCCAATTGGCGGAGCCAGGAGATTGAATACCTACCCTCGGGGCTACTCCAGAAACAACGAAAAGCCACTACGGGTGGCCACGTGGAATGTTCGAACGCTCACTGCAGAGGAGATGCTGCCACTCCTCTGTCGGGAGCTGGACCGGTACCGCCTGGATCTATGCGGCATTCAGGAGGTCCGGTGGACCGGCTCTGGCTCCTGCCACCATGAGGGGTGGACAGTCCTCTACTCGGGGCAGCAGACTGCCAAACAACAGGGTGTGGGTCTTCTTTTGAACAAAAGAATGAAGGGGGCGTGGGAGCGTGGCGGTGAGGTGTGGGAATCTGTAAGCCCCAGGCTACTTTGGGCTCGCCTTCCCATCAACCAGAGGCGAGGAATGGTGGTCGTGGTTACTTATGCCCCCACCGAAGATGAACATCCGTGGAGGGATGCAGGCAAAGCAGATGAGTCAGATGCCTTCTATGACCTCCTGTAACAGGTGCTGGCTAAAGTGGCCCCTCGGGATAGAGTCATCATGTTGGGTGACTTCAATGCCCGAGTTGGTCATGATACTGGCACCTGGTCTGGAGTGATTGGAGGGCATGGGCCAGATCAGCTCAATAACAACGGTAGGAGGCTGCTAGATTTTTGTGCAGCCCATGGGCTTGTAATTACCAACACGCTGTTCCGGCATCGGCGCATCCACACAACATCATGGATGCATGCCGGGTCCAAGCAAGAACATCTGCTGGACTACATAGTGACGGACCAGCGAATGCGAGCCCATGTCCTTGACACCAGGACCTACCGTGGAGCTGATCTGCCCTCTGACCATCGACTAGTCATCTGCAAGATGCGCCTGCCATTCTTCCACTCCGGTGGTGGGTGTACACCCAGGACCCCATTCCAACCTAAAGTGGCCTGGTCTCAGTTATCTGATGAAAGTTGCAAGCGAGAATTTCATCATCGCTTGCGGCTGGGATTGGCATCGTCCCCGACTCCTCCTGATGTCGAGGGTAAATGGGCGAGGTTTAGGATTGTGACTCATGCAGCTGCAATGGCTGCTTTGGGTACGCGGTCCAGACCTCCCCAGACACCCTGGCTGACAGAGGAGTTGTTCAGGATGGTTGAGAAAAAGCGACAGGCCCACTGTCATCGGGTACAGAATCCCACGTCAGTGAATGCGGAGGCTTACCGCAGCCTTCGCTCGGAGGTTCGGAGGGCCGTGAGGCGCTGCAAGGATGGGTGGTGGTCGCGGGTTGCTGAGGAGATGGAGTCTGCCTCAGTGGCCCGTGATCACAAATCTCTATTTAACTCCATCAAAAAAGTAACCTGCAGCGCCACACCTATTACCATCATTAGGGGAAAAAACGGTGATCCAATTTCCGACCCCCAGGAACAGGTTCGCAGATTTGCTGAGCATTTCTGTGAGGTCCTGGGGGAGGGAAAATCCCTCAGCCAGGAAAACATCGTGGCACAAAGTGAGGATGACCCTGCTGAGGCTGCGGTGCCTCAAATATTGTATGAAGTCACCCCCTGTGAGGGGCTGGCTGAGGTGCCATCTGCTGAGGAAGTATTGAAGGCGATCCGGAGTCTGAGACCAGGAAAGGCAGCGGGCAGAGATGATCTCCCAAGCGAAATGCTGAGGGAGGGTGGCGTTTGTGCACAGACTGCCCTATATGACATCATAACAACAGTCTGGACCACTGGACGGGTTCCGCAGGATTGGAAGGATGCCCTGGTGGTCCCCCTTTTTAAGAAGGGGGACCGCACAGACTGTAACAACTACAGGGGCATCTCACTCCTCAGTGTGTCGGGAAAGGTCCTGGCAAGGATTATTCAGCATCGCCTTGCCAGGCACGCTGAGGAGAGGCTTGCGGAGCCCCAATGCGGTTTCAGGAAAGGGCGGTCCTGCACAGATGCCATATTTTCTGTCCGTCTGCTACAGCAGAGGTGTAGGGAATTCCAACAAGACCTACATCTCTGCTTTATTGACCTGGTCAAGGCCTATGATACCATCAGTAGGCCTGGGCTCTGGGTCGTTCTTCGTGCTTTTGGAGTACCTGACCCTCTGCTCACGATCATTAAGGACCTTCATGATGGTGAGCGGGCCCGGGTAAAACTACGTGGCCGGGAGTCAGAGCCATTCCCTGTACACCTTGGGGTGCGACAGGGATGTCCTCTGGCTCCCACAGTATTTAACATCTATTTTGACCACGTAGTTTGTGAAGTCTTCAATAGCTGTACCGGGGGAATCTCCATATGGTACAGATATAATGGGAGGCTGATCGATGCCCGGGTGCGGTCAAGGGATGGCTCCCTATTGCTCAACCACGTTATGTATGCTGATGATTTGGTAATAGCTGCTCAGTCAGAGGAGGAGTTGGAGATGCTGCTGCTGAGACTGGAGCGTGCCACTAAGAGGTGGGGCCTTACCATCAGCCCCACCAAAACTAAGCACCTGCCTGGGTATTTTGTACCATCGGACACTCCACCCCCACAACTCCCAATCGGTGATGGGGCAGTTGTAGAGAGAGTGGAGAGTTTCCCATACCTGGGCAGTGTGCTTATGACTGGCTCCAGTTTAACAGCAGAGGTCTCACTCCGAATCAGTCGAGCGGCAGTATCTTTTCATCGGTTGCGTAACGCTGTGTGGAAGCTACCTGGTCTGTCGCTCCGCACTAAGCTTCAGGTCTTCTCGGCCACGGTCATTCCCTCCCTTCTCTACGCTTGCGAAACGTGGACCCCCCCTAATGGAACATCTTCGCCGGTTGAAACATTTAGGCTGGCCTGCCTACGATCCATCCTGGGTTTAACCAGACTGGATTGTGTGAGGAGCTCACAAATCCTTGAAAGATCTGGGCAAGGTCCCATCGGTGAGCTCCTCCGGCGGGCAAGGCTGCGATGGCTGGGTCATGTAGCCCGCATGCCCAGCCACCGCATGCTGAAACAGCTTTTGTTCGGCCGGATTGAGGGGGCTTAGCGGGCGCGGCACGGGCTAGAGAAGAGATGGAGTGATGTGGTACAGGAGGACGTGGAGCTGAGTGGACTTGCCGATGACTGGTACCAGCGGTGTCAAGATTGGCCTCTGTGGAGGAGGCTCGTGAAGGATGCTACTGGGCAGTTGGAGGTAGTCGCCCTCCAACAACAACGGAGGGCGGAGGAGCGACGCTCAGAACAACGAGCGGAGCGCCGGGTGGCTAAAGCACAGCAGGTTGGCACAGTAGGGGGCACAGGTGGTGCATCAGCCAGTCATCTCAGTCGACCCGTGGCACCTGGGTCTGCCCCGTGACCTCCTGCCAGCGGGCGTTCGACACTTCACGTGGCCTCAGGGTGCACATAGCCTGGCACAAGCGTCGTGGTGACGTCACCGCCACTTAGTGGCGAATGGCGGTTGTTGTTGTGTGAGTGAGTGAGTGTGAGTGAGTGTGTGAGTGTGTGAGTGAGTGTGTGAGTGAGTGTGTGAGTGTGTGAGTGAGTGAGTGTGTGAGAGTGTGAGTGTGTGAGTGAGTGTGTGAGTGAGTGAGTGTGTGTGTGTGAGTGAGTGTGTGAGTGAGTGTGTGAGTGTGTGAGTGTGTGTGAGTGTGTGAGTGTGTGAGTGAGTGTGTGAGTGTGAGTGTGTGAGTGTGTGAGTGAGTGTGAGTGTGTGAGAGAGTGTGTGAGTGATTGTGTGAGTGATTGTGTGTGAGCGTGTGATTGAGTGTGTGAGTGTGAGTGAGTGTGTGTGAGTGAGTGTGTAAATGAGTGAGTGTGTAAGTGTGTGTGATTGAGAGTGTGAGTGAGTGTGAGTGAGTGAGTGTGAGTGAGTGTTTTAGTGAGTGAGCGTGTGAGTGAATGTGTGAGTGAGTGTGTGTGAGTGAGTGAGTGTGTAAATGATTGAGTGTGAGTGTGTTAATGAGTGAGTGAGTGAGTGTATGAGTGAGTGTGAGTGTGTGAGTAAGTGAGCGTGTGATTGAGTGTGTGAGTGAGTGTGAGTGAGTGTGAGTGAGTGAGTGTTTCAGTGAGTGAGCCCCCCACGTGTCTCACCCCCCACGTGTCTCACCCCCCACGTGTCTCACCCCCCACGTGTCCCACCCCCCACGTGTCCCACCCCCCACGTGTCCCACCCCCCACTTAGCGTCTCTCCGAGTGGGTGTCGGTACCCAGCGTGTCCTCGTGGGCTGAGAGCCGCCATGACGTTGTCCGCATGGTGCAGCTGGCCGCCCGCGAGGTTACTCGGCTCGGAGGCAGCGTGGAGCTTGTGGACATCGGCACCCAGACGGTGGGAGGGGGGCGGAGACGCGGGGCGGAGACGCGGGGGGGAGACGCGGGGGGGAGACACGGGGGGGGAGACACGGGGGGGAGACGCGGGGAGACACGGGGAGACGCGGGGAGACACGGGGAGACACTCACGGGGAGACAAGGGGAGACACGGGGAGACGCAGGGAGACACGGGGAGACACTCACGGGGAGACGCGGGGAGACACCGGGAGACGCAGGGAGACACGGGGAGACACGGGGAGACACGGGGAGACACGGGGAGACACTCACGGGGAGACACGGGGAGACACTCACGGGGATACACGGGGAGACACGGGGAGACACGGGGGGGAGATACGGGGAGAAACGGGGAGACGCTCACGGGGAGACACTCACAGGGAGATACGGGGGGGGTACACGGGGAGAAACGGGGAGATGCTCACGGGGAGACACGGGGAGACACGGGGAGACACAGGGAGACACGGGGAGACACGGGGAGACACTCACAGGGAGATACGGGGAGACACTCACAGGGAGATACGGGGGGGAGACACGGGGAGAAACGGGGAGACGCTCACGGGGAGACACTCACGGGGAGACACGGGGAGACACAGGGAGACACTCACAGGGAGATACGGGGAGACACTCACGGGGAGACACGGGGAGACACAGGGAGACACGGGGAGACACGGGGAGACACTCACAGGGAGATACGGGGAGACACTCACGGGGAGACACGGGGAGACACAGGGAGACACGGGGAGACACGGGGAGACACTCACAGGGAGATACGGGGAGACACTCACGGGGAGACACGGGGAGACACAGGGAGACACGGGGAGACACGGGGAGACACTCACAGGGAGATACGGGGAGACACTCACGGGGAGACACTCACGGGGAGACACGGGGAGACAGACACAGGGAGACACGGGGAGACACGGGGAGACACTCACGGGAGACACTCACGGGGAGACACGGGGAGACACTCACGGGGAGACAGACACGGGGAGACACTCATGGGAGACACTCACAGGGAGACACGGGGAGACACTCACGGGGAGACACGGGGAGACACAGGGAGACACGGGGAGACGCGGGGAGACAGACACAGGGAGACACTCACGGGGGACACTCACGGGGAGACACTCACGGGAGACACTCACGGGAGGACACTGGGAGACACGGGGAGACACTCACAGGGAGACACTCACGGGAGACACTCACAGGGAGACACTCACGGGGAGACACGGGGAGACACTCACAGGAGACACTCACGGGGAGACACTCACGGGGAGACACTCACAGGAGACACTCACGGGGAGACACGGGGAGACACTCACAGGAGACACTCACAGGGAGACACTCACAGGGAGACACTCACAGGGAGACACTCACGGGGAGACACTCACGGGGAGACACTCACAGGGAGACACGGGGAGACACTCACAGGGAGACACTCACGGAGAGACACTCACGGGGAGACACTCACAGGGAGACACTCACAGGGAGACACTCACGGGGAGACACTCACGGGGAGACACTCACAGGGAGACACGGGGAGACACTCACGGGGAGACACTCACGGGAGACACTCACGGGGAGACACTCACGGGGAGACAGACACAGGGAGACACTCACGGGGAGACACTCACAGAGAGACACTGACGGGGAGACACTCGCAGGGAGACACTCGCAGGGAGACACTCGCAGGAGACACTCACGGGGAGACACTCACAGGGAGACACTCACGGGAGACACTCACAGGGAGACACGGGGGGAGACACGGGGAGACACGGGGAGACACTCACGGGAGATACTCACAGGGAGACAGTCACGGGAGACACTCACGGGAGATACTCACAGGGAGACCCGGGGAGACACTCCCGGGGAGACACTCACGGGAGACACTCACGGGGGACAATGTCGTGCCGCTCCCCTAGATGCCGGATGGCTCCAAGCTGGCGCTGCCGCCCATCCTGCTGGGCACGCTGGGCACAGACCCGGCCCTCAAGACACTCCTCATCTACGGACACCTTGACGTGCAGCCGGCCCGGATCGACGACGGCTGGGACACCGAGCCCTTCACCCTCACCGAGAAGGACGGTGAGGCTCGCTCGCCCGCCCGCCCGCCCGCTCGCCCAGCCACTCGCTCGCCCGCCCGCCCGCCCGCCCGCTCGCCCAGCCACTCGCCCACCCACTCGCCCGCCCGCCCGCTCGCCCAGCCACTCGCTCGCCCAGCCACTCGCCCAGCCACTCGCTCGCTCGCCCGCCCGCCCACTCGCTCGCCCACCCACTCGCTCGCCCAGCCACTCGCCCAGCCACTCGCTCGCCCACTCGCCCAGCCTTTCGCTCGCCCGCCCAACTCGCCCGCACTTCTCTATGAGTCTATGCGAGTCTCTGGGAGTATCTGTGAGTCTCTGTGAGTATTTGTGAGTCTCTGCAGGTATCTGTGTGAGTCTCTGTGAGTCTCTGTGAGTCTCTGTGAGTCTGTGAAAGTCTCTGTGAGTCTCTTAGTGTCTGTGAGTCTCTGTGAGTATCTGTGAGTCTCTGCGAGTCTCTGTGTGTCTCTGTGAGTCTCTGTGAGTCTGTGAGAGTTTCTCTGAGTCTCTCTGAGTCTCTGTGAGTCTCTGTGAGAGTCTCTGTGAGTATCTTCGAGTCTCTTTGAGTCTCTGCGAGTCTCTGTGTGTCTCTGTGAGTCTCTGTGAGTCTGTGAGAGTCTCTGTGAGTCGCCGTGAGTCTCTGTGAGTCTGTGAGAGTCTCTCTGTGAGAGTCTCTGTGAGTCTGTGAGAGTCTCTGTGAGTCTCTCTGAGTCTCTGTGAGAGTCTCTGTGAGTCTCTCTGTGAGTCTGTGAGAGTCTCTGTGAGTCTCTGTGAGTCTCTCTTTGTGAGAGTCTCTGTGAGTCCCTGTGAGTCTGTGAGGGTCTCTGTGAGTCTCTGTGAGTCTCTATGAGTATCTACGAGTATCTTTGAGTCTCTGCGAGTCTCTGTGTGTATCTGTGAGTCTCTGTGAGTCTGTGAGAGTCTCTGTGAGTCGCCGTGAGTCTCTGTGAGTCTGTGAGAGTCTCTCTGTGAGAGTCTCTGTGAGTCTGTGAGAGTCTCTGTGAGTCTCTCTGAGTCTCTGTGAGAGTCTCTGTGAGTCTCTCTGTGAGTCTGTGAGAATCTCTCTGAGTCTCTGTGAGTCTGTGAGAGTCTCTGTGAGTCTCTCTGTGAGTCTGTGAGAATCTCTCTGAGTCTCTGTAAGTCTGTGAGAGTCTCTGTGAGTCTCTGAGGCTCTCTGTGAGTCTCTGAGTCTCTGTGAGTCTCTCTGAGTCTCTGTGAGAGTCTCTGTGAGACTCTCTGTGAGTCTCTGAGTCTCTGTGAGAGTCTCTGTGAGTCTCTCTGTGAGTCTCTGTGAGTCTCTCTGAGTCTCTGTGAGTCTCTCTGAGTCTCTCTGTGAGTCTCTGTGAGTCTCTGTGAGAGTCTCTGTGAGTCTCTGTGAGTCTCTCTGTGAGTCTCTGAGTCTCTGTGAGAGTCTCTCTGAGTCTCTGTGAGAGTCTCTGTGAGGCTCTCTGTGAGTCTCTCTGTAAGAGTCTCTGTGAGGGTATCTCTGTGAGTCTCTCTGTGAGTCTCTCTGTAAGAGTCTCTGTGAGAGTCTCTGTGAGTCTCTCTGTGAGTCTCTCTGTGAGTCTCTGAGTCTCTGTGAGAGTCTCTGTGAGAGTCTCTGTGAGTCTCTCTGTGAGTCTCTCTGTGAGAGTCTCTGTGAGAGTCTCTGTGAGTCTCTGTGAGTCTCTCTGTGAGTCTCTGTGAGTCTCTCTGAGTCTCTCTGTGAGTCTCTCTGAGTCTCTGTGAGTCTCTCTGAGTTTCTCTGTGAGTCTTTCTGTGAGTCTCTCTGTGAGTCTCTGTGAGTCTCTCTGTGAGTCTCTGAGTCTCTCTGTGAGTCTCTCTGTGAGGGTCTGTGTGAGTCTGTGGACTCCATAGCCACGCAGCTCCACACCACCACCACACTCACTCACAGACACACTCACTCTGTCTTACACACACTCACAGACAGACTCACTCACACACACACTCACTCACAGACACACTCACTCACTCTGTCTTACACTCACTCACAGACACACTCACTCACTCTGTCTTACACTCACTCACAGACACACTCACTCACTCTGTCTTACACTCACTCACAGACACACTCACTCACTCTGTCTTACACTCACTCACAGACACACTCACTCTGTCTTACACTCACTCACAGACACACTCACTCACTCTGTCTTACAAAGATCCCCCATATAGCCTTAACAGACTGTAGGGGCAAGTGCTGTTAGCGAGCACCTATGAAGGCCGAAACGGTACTCGAGGGGGTGGGTGGCCAGCACCACGCCCGACCGCCTTTGTCTCCCCAGTGGCGATGTTTACACACCGCACCAGGTACTCATTTGAGGCTGAGTCGACCTAGGGGAGGCCCGGGACCGGTTCAGATAATCGTCACTGGTGTTGGCCGTGAGCGGGAATCGAACCCGGGTCGCCAGGTTCACAGCGCAGCGTAGCGCTAACCGCTACACCCACCGCTCCCCACTCACTCTGTCTTACACTCACTCACAGACACACTCACTCTGTCTTACACTCATTCACAGACACACTCACTCTGTCTTACACTCACTCACAGACACACTCACTCACTCTGTCTTACACTCACTCACAGACACACTCATTCTGTCTTACACTCACTCACAGACACACTCACTCTGTCTTACACTCATTCACAGACACACTCACTCTGTCTTACACTCACTCACAGACACACTCACTCTGTCTTACACTCACTCACAGACACACTCACTCACTCTGTCTTACACTCATTCACAGACACACTCACTCACTCTGTCTTACACTCATTCACAGACACACTCACTCTGTCTTACACTCATTCACAGACACACTCACTCACAGACTCACTCACACACCCCCATTGCAGACGGGGGGGGGGGGCAGGAGCAGGAGGTGGGGGGTCGATCCCTGACTGCATGGATTTTGTACCTTGACCCCAACGACAAAGTGTGTGTGAGAGTGTGTGTATGTGTGTGTATGTATGTGTGTGTGTGGTCAAGGGGGACCGCACAGACTGTAACAACTACAGGGGCATCTCACTCCTCAGTGTGCCGGGAAAGGTCCTGGCAAGGATTATTCAGCATCGCCTTGCCAGGCACGCTGAGGAGAGGCTTGCGGAGCCCCAATGCGGTTTCAGGAAAGGGCGGTCCTGCACAGATGCCATATTTTCTGTCCGTCTGCTACAGCAGAGGTGTAGGGAATTCCAACAAGACCTACATCTCTGCTTTATTGACCTGGTCAAGGCCTATGATACCATCAGTAGGCCTGGGCTCTGGGTCGTTCTTCGTGCTTTTGGAGTACCTGACCCTCTGCTCACGATCATTAAGGGCCTTCATGATGGTGAGCGGGCCCGGGTAAAACTACGTGGCCGGGAGTCAGAGCCATTCCCTGTACACCTTGGGGTGCGACAGGGATGTCCTCTGGCTCCCACAGTATTTAACATCTATTTTGACCACGTAGTTCGTGAAGCCTTCAATAGCTGTACCGGGGGAATCTCCATATGGTACAGATATAATGGGAGGCTGATCGATGCCCGGGTGCGGTCAAGGGATGGCTCCCTATTGCTCAACCACGTTATGTATGCTGATGATTTGGTAATAGCTGTTCAGTCAGAGGAGGAGTTGGAGATGCTGCTGCTGAGACTGGAGCGTGCCACTAAGAGGTGGGGCCTTACCATCAGCCCCACCGAAACTAAGCACCTACCTGGGTATTTTGTACCATCGGACACTCCACCCCCACAACTCCCAATCGGTGATGGGGCAGTTGTGGAGAGAGTGGAGAGTTTCCCATACCTGGGCAGTGTGCTTATGACTGGCTCCAGTTTAACAGCAGAGGGCTCACTCCGAATCAGTCGAGCGGCAATATCTTTTCATCGGTTGCGTAACGCTGTGTGGAAGCTACCTGGTCTGTCGCTCCGCACTAAGCTTCAGGTCTTCTCGGCCACGGTCATTCCCTCCCTTCTCTACGCTTGCGAAACGTGGACCCCCCCTAATGGAACATCTTCGCCGGTTAGAAACATTTAGGCTGGCCTGCCTACGATCCATCCTGGGTTTAACCAGACTGGATTGTGTGAGGAGCTCACAAATCCTTGAAAGATCTGGGCAAGGTCCCATCGGTGAGCTCCTCCGGCGGGCAAGGCTGCGATGGCTGGGTCATGTAGCCCGCATGCCCAGCCACCGCATGCTGAAACAGCTTTTGTTCAGCTGGATTGAGGGGGCTAAGCGGGCGCGTTACGGGCTAGAGAAGAGATGGAGTGATGTGGTACAGGAGGACGTGGAGCTGAGTGGACTTGCCGATGGCCGGTACCAGCGGTGTCAAGATCGGCCTCTGCGGAGGAGGCTCGTGAAGGATGCTACTGGGCAGTTGGAGGTAGTCGCCCTCCAACAACAACGGAGGGCGGAGGAGCGACGCTCAGAACAACGAGCGGAGCGCCGGGTGGCTAAAGCACAGCAGGTTGGCACAGTAGGGGGCACAGGTGGTGCATCAGCCAGTCATCTCAGTCAGTCGACCCGTGGCACCTGGGTCTGCCCCGTGACCTCCTGCCAGCGGGCGTTCGACACTTCACGTGGCCTCAGGGTGCACATAACCTGGCACAAGCGTCGTGGTGACGTCACCGCCACTTAGTGGCGAATGGCGGTTGTTGTTGTGTCTGTGAGTGTGTCTGTGAGTGTGTCTGTGAGTGAGTGTCAGACAGAGTGAGTGAGTGTGTCTGTGAGTGAGTGTGTGTGTGAGTGAGTCTGTCTGTGAGTGTGTCTGCGAGTGTGTCTGTGAGTGTGAGTGAGTGTGTCTGTGAGTGAGTGTGAGTGAGTGTGTCTGTGAGTGAGTGAGTGTGAGTGAGTGAGTTTGTCTGTGAGTGAGTGAGTGTGAGTGAGTGAGTGTGTCTGTGAGTGTGTCTGTGAGTGTGCGTGCACGTGTGAGTGTGTGTGAGTGTGTCTGTGAGTGTGTCTGTGAGTGAGTGTAAGAAAGAGTGAGTGAGTGTATCTGTGAGTGAGTGTGTCTGTAAGTGAGTGTGTCTGTGAGTGAGTGTAAGACAGATTGAGTGAGTGTGTCTGTGAGTGAGTGAGTGAGTGTGAGTGAGTGTGTCTGTGAGTGAGTGAGTCTGTCTGTGAGTGTGAGTGAGTGAGTGTGTCTGTGAGTGAGTGTGAGTGTGTCTGTGAGTGAGTGAGTGTGTCTGTGAGTGTGTCTGTGAGTGAGTGTGTCTGTGAGTGTGTCTGTGAGTGTGCGTGCACGTGTGTGAGTGTGTGTGTGCATGGTGGTGGTGCGTTGGTACAAAGGCGGCCCCGGGCGTGGTCCTGGGCCACCCACCCCCTCGTGCCCTCGTGGACGTGCTTGCTAGCGGCGCTTGCCCCGGCAGCCTGCGAAGGCTACGCGGTGGTGGTGGTGGTGGGGGTGGCGGTGGTGGTGGTGGTGGCGGGGGTGGTGGTGGCGGTGGTGGCGGTGGTGGACGTGGTGGTGGGGGTGGCGGTGGTGGTGGTGGTGGCGGCGGTGGGGGTGGTGGTGGTGGTGGTGGCGGTGGACGTGACCTTTGCCTCTGTCCGCGCGGTGCGCTCGCGAGCAGGGAAGCTGTACGGTAGAGGCTCCACGGACGACAAGGGCCCAGTGCTGGGCTGGCTGAACGTCATCGAAGCCTACCAGAGCCTCAAGCAGGTGGGGAACGCTCGCTCGCTCACCCGCTCGCTCACCCGCTCGCTCACCCGCTCGCTCACCCGCTCGCTCACCCGCTCGCTCACCCGCCCGCTCACCCGCTCGCCGCTCACCCGCTCGCTCACCCGCTCGCTCACCAGCTCACTCACCCGCTCGCTCACCCGCTCGCTCACCCGCCCGCTCGCTCACCCGCCCGCTCACTCGCTCACCCGCTCGCTCACCCGCTCGCTCACCCGCTCGCTCACCAGCTCACTCACCCGCTCGCTCACCCGCTCGCTCACGCGCTTACTCACGGCGGCGTAGCTCTCCACCGTGGTGCAGGCTTTCGGCGCTAGCGGCGTCAGCGAGCGCCCGCGACAGGCCGCCTTTGTCTCCCCGGTGGCACCTCGCCGGGTGCTCTCCTCGAGGCTGAGTCGACCGTAACGGAGGCCCAGGACGGGTTCGGATGATCGTTCAGCGGTGTTGGCTCACGGGCACAGAGAGCCATAGACTCACCACACAGAGACCCACAGACCCACCACACAGAGACCCACAGACTCACCACACAGAGACCCACAGACTCACCACACAGAGACCCACAGAGACCCACAGACTCACCACACAGAGACCCGTAGACTCATCACACAGAGACCCATAGACTCACCACACAGAGACTCGTAGACTCACCACACAGAGACCCATAGACTCACCACACAGAGACCCACAGACTCACCACACAGAGACCCACAGAGACCCACAGACTCACCACACAGAGACCCACAGACCCACCACACAGAGACCCACAGACTCATCACAAAGAGACCCACAGACTCCACCACACAGAGACCCATAGACTCACCACACCGAGACCCACAGACCCACAACACAGAGACCTGTAGTCTCACACAAGAGACCCACAGACTCACCACACAGAGACCCACAGACTCACCACACACAGAGACCCACAGACCCACCACACAGAGACCCACAGACCCACCACACAGAGACCCACAGACTCACCACACAGAGACCCACAGACTCACCACACAGAGACCCACAGACTCACCACACAGAGACCCACAGAGACCCACAGACTCACCACACAGAGACCCGTAGACTCATCACACAGAGACCCATAGACTCACCACACAGAGACTCGTAGACTCACCACACAGAGACCCATAGACTCACCACACAGAGACCCACAGACTCACCACACAGAGACCCACAGAGACCCACAGACTCACCACACAGAGACCCACAGACCCACCACACAGAGACCCACAGACTCATCACAAAGAGACCCACAGACTCCACCACACAGAGACCCATAGACTCACCACACCGAGACCCACAGACCCACAACACAGAGACCTGTAGTCTCACACAAGAGACCCACAGACTCACCACACAGAGACCCACAGACTCACCACCACACAGAGACCCACAGACTCACCACACAGAGACCCACAGACCCACCACACAGAGACCCACAGACTCACCACACAGACACCGCCCATACCACCTCTGCCCCGCCAGCGGCTGCCAGTGAACATCAAGTTCTGCCTCGAGGCGATGGAGGAGTCGGGCTCCGAGGGGTTGGAGGAGCTCGTGGCGACTCGCAAGGAGAGCTTCTTCAGCGGCGTCGACTTTGTCTGCATCTCGGACAATTACTGGCTGGGCAAGAGCAAGCCCTGCCTCACTTACGGCTTGCGAGGCATCACCTACTTCTTCATTGAGGTGGGCCCGGCACGTGGGGTTAGCGGGGGGCCGGGCAGGGAGTGGTGCAGGGGGGGCGGGGAGGGTGAGGGGGGAGAGAGGGGGAGGGGAGGGAGAGATTGATAGGTTGTGAGTGTGATGGTGTGAGTGTGATGGTTTGTGTGAGTGTGTGAGTGTGTAACTGTGTGAGTGTGATGGTGTGACTGTGATGGTGTGAGTGTGTGAGTGTGACTGTGTGAGAGATTGATAGGTTGTCAGTGTGAGTGTGATGGTGTGAGTGTGACTGTGTGAGTGTGACTGTGTGACAGTGTGACTGTGTGAGTGTGACGGTGTGAGTGTGACGGTGAGTGTGTGACTGTGTGAGTGTGTCGGTGTGACTGTGTGAGTGTGATGGTGTGAGTGTGACGGTGTGAGTGTGACGGTGTGAGTGTGACTGTGAGTGTGTGACTGTGAGTGTGTGACTGTGTGAGTGTGACTGTGGGTGTGAGTGTGACGGTGTGAGTGTGAGTGAGTGTGTGAGTGTGTAACTGTGTGAGTGTGATGGTGCGAGTGTGATGGTGTGACTGTGCGAGTGTGATGGTGTGAGTGTGACTGTGAGTGTGACTGTGAGTGTGTGACTGTGAGTCTGTGAGTGTGACGGTGTGAGTGTGACTGTGAGTGTGTCACGGTGTGACTGTATGAGTGTGGCTGTGTGACTGTGTGAGTGTGACGGTGTGACGGTGTGAGTGTGATGGTGTGACTGTGAGTGTGTTAGTGTGACTGTGTGAGTGTGACTGTGTGAGTGTGACGGTGTGAGTGTGACTGTGTGAGTGTGACTGTGTGACAGTGTGACAGTGTGAGTGTGACGGTGTGAGTGTGACTGTGTGAGTGTGACTGTGTGAGTGTGACTGTGTGGGTGTGACGGTGTGACTGTGTGACAGTGTGAGTGTGACGGTGTGAGTGTGACTGTGAGTGTGACGGTGATGGTGTGAGTGTGACTGTGTGAGTGTGACTGTGTGAGTGTGACGGTGTGAGTGTCACGGTGTGAGTGTGACAGTGTGACTGTGTGACTGTGTGAGTGTGACAGTGTGAGTGTGACGGTGTGAGTGTAACTGTGTGACTGTGTGAGTGTGATGGTGTGTGTGTGACGGTGTGAGTGTGTGAGTGTGACGGTGTGAGTGTGACGGTGTGTGTGTGACGGTGTGAGTGTGTGAGTGTGACGGTGTGACGGTGTGAGTGTGTGAGTGTGACGGTGTGAGTGTGATGGTGCGACGGTGTGAGTGTGACTGTGTGACGGTGTGAGTGTGACTGTGTGAGTGTGACGGTGTGAGTGTGACGGTGTGAGTGTGACGGTGTGAGTGTGACTGTGAGTGTGTGACTGTGAGTGTGTGAGTGTGACGGTGTGAGTGTGACGGTGTGAGTGTGTGAGTGTGACGGTGTGAGTGTGATGGTGTGAGTGTGACTGTGTGAGTGTGACTGTGTGAGTGTGACTGTGACTGTGTGAGTGTGACTGTGTGAGTGTGACTGTGACTGTGTGAGTGTGACGGTGTGACTGTGAGTGTAACAGTGTGACTGTGAGTGTGACGGTGTGAGTGTGACTGTGAGTGTGTGAGTGTGACTGTGACTGTGTGAGTGTGACAGTGTGAGTGTGACTGTGTAAGTGTGACTGTGTGAGTGTCACGGTGTGAGTGTGACAGTGTGACTGTGTGACTGTGTGAGTGTGACCGTGTGAGTGTGACAGTGTGAGTGTCACTCGCCTGCCTGGGTATTTTGTACCATCGGACACTCCACCCCCACAACTCCCAATCGGTGATGGGGCAGTTGTGGAGAGAGTGGAGAGTTTCCCATACCTGGGCAGTGTGCTTATGACCGGCTCCAGTTTAACAGCAGAGGTCTCACTCCGAATCAGTCGAGCGGCAATATATTTTCATCGGTTGCGTAACGCTGTGTGGAAGCTACCTGGTCTGTCGCTCCGCACTAAGCTTCAGGTCTTCTCGGCCACGGTCATTCCCTCCCTTCTCTACGCTTGCGAAACGTGGACCCCCCTAATGGAACATCTTCGCTGGTTAGAAACATTTAGGCTGGCCTGCCTACGATAAAGCTCACAAGTCCTCGAAAGATCTGGGCAAGGTCCCATCTGTCAACTCCTCTGGAAGGCAAAGCTGCGTTGGCTGGGTCATGTAGCCCGCATGCCCAGCCACCGCATGCCGAAACAGCTTTTGTTCGGCCGGATCGAGGGGGCTAAACGGGCGCGGCACGGGCTAGAGAAGAGATGTAGTGATGTGGTACAGGAGGACGTGCAGCTGAGTGGACTTGCCGATGACAGGTACCAGCGGTGTCAAGATTGGCCTCTGTGGAGGAGGCTCGTGAAGGACGCTACTGGGCAGTTGGAGGTAGTCGCCCTCCAACAACAACGGAGGGCGGAGGAGCGACGCTCACAACAACGAGCGGAGCGCCGGGTGGCTAAAGCACAGCAGGTTGGCACAGTAGGGGGCACAGGTGGTGCATCAGCCAGTCATCTCAGTCAGTCGACCCGTGGCACCTGGGTCTGGCCCGTGACCTCCTGCCAGCGGGCGTTCGACACTTCACGTGGCCTCAAGGTGCACATGGCCTGGCACAAGCGTCGTGGTGACGTCACCGCCACTTAGTGGTGAATGGCGGTTGTTGATGTTGTTGATGTTGTTGACGTGTCCGTGTGTGCGTGTGTTCGTGTGTGCGTGTGTGTGTGTGTGTCCGTGTGTGTGTCCATGTGTGCGTGTGCATGTGTGTGTCCTTGTGTTTCCGTGTGTGTCCGTGGGGAGCGGTGGTACAGCGGTTAGCGCTATGCTGCATTACGAACCCGGCGACCCGGGTTCGATTCCCGCTCACGGCCAACACCACCAGTGACGATTATCTGAACCGGTCCCGGGCCTCCCCCTAGGTCGACTCAGCCTCAAATGAGTACCTGGTGCGGTGTGCAAACATCGCCACTGGGGAGACAAAGGCGGTCGGGCGTGGTGCTGGCCACCCACCCCCTCGTGTGCCGTTACCGGCCTCCATAGGTGCTGCTCCCTAACAGCACTTGCCCCTACAGTCCGTTGAGGCTACACGGGGGATCTTTGTCTTTGTGTACAGGTGGAATGCGCCAACATGGACTTACACTCTGGAGTGTTTGGAGGCTCCGTTCACGAGGCCATGACGGACCTCATCGCCCTCATGAGTGAGTCACCCTCTCACTCTCTCCCCACTCTCTCCCCACTCTCTCCCCACTCTCTCCCCACTCTCTCATCACTCTCTCACTCTCTCACCACTCTCTCTCCCCACTCTCTCGTCACTCTCTCATCACTCCTCACCCTCTCACTCTCTCCCCACTCTCTCCCCACTCTCTCTCCCCACTCTCTCCCCACTCTCTCCCCACTCTCTCCCCACTCTCTCTCCCCACTCTCTCCCCACTCTCTCCCCACTCTCTCCCCACTCTCTCCCCACTCTCTCCCCTCTCTCTCCCCACTCTCTCCCCACTCTCTCCCCACTCTCTCGTCACTCTCTCATCACTCCTCTCTCCCCACTCTCTCCCCACTCTCTCCCCACTCTCTCCCCACTCTTTCCCCACTCTCTCCCCACTCTCTCCCCACTCTCTCCCCACTCTCTCCCGACTCTCTCCCCACTCTCTCCCCACTCTCTCTCGTCACTCTCTCCCCACTCTATCTGCTGTGCCGCTCCACACGAAGTCTCCGCGTCGGAGTCACGCTTCAGGTCTTCTCGGCCACGGTCATGCGCTCCCTTCTCTACGCTTGCGAAACGTGGACCCCCCCTAATGGAACATCTTCGCCGGTTAGAAACATTTAGGCTGGCCTGCCTACGATCCATCCTGGGTTTAACCAGACTGGATTGTGTGAGGAGCTCACAAATCCTTGAAAGATCTGGGCACGGTCCCATCGGTGAGCTCCTCCGGCAGGCAAGGCTGCGATGGCTGGGTCATGTAGCCCGCATGCCCAGTCACCGCATGCCGAAACAGCTTTTGTTCGGCCGGATCGAGGGGGCTAAACGGGCGCGACACGGGCTAGAGAAGAGATGGAGTGACGTGGTACAGGAGGACGTGGAGCTGAGTGGACTTGCCGATGACTGGTACCAGCGGTGTCAAGATTGGCCTCTGTGGAGGAGGCTCGTGAAGGACGCTGCTACTGGGCAGTTGGAGGTAGTCGCCCTCCAACAACAACGGAGGGCGGAGGAGCGATGCTCACAACAGCGAGCGGAGCGCCGGGTGGCTAAAGCACAGCGGGTTGGCACAGTAGGGGGCACAGGTGGTGCATCAGCCAGTCATCTCAGTCAGTCGACCCGTGGCACCTGCTGTGATGGCGGCCGTTGTCTGTTTGTCCTGGGCCTGCCCTAGGTCGACTCAGCCTCAAATGAGTGACCTGGTGCGGTGTGTACAAATCTGGGGAGACAAAGGCGGCCGGGCGTGGCGCTGGCCACCCCCACCCCCTCGTGTGCCACAGTGCCGGCCTAACAGCACTTGCCCCGACAGTCTGTCAAGGCTACACGGGGGATCTTTGTCTTTTTGTGTGCGTCACAGACTCGCTGGTGGACAAGAACGGCCGTATCCTGGTGCCAGGCCTCTATGAGCAGGTCGCTCCGCTGAGCCCAGAGGAGGAGGCCTCCTATAAAGACATCGACTTCTGCCCAGAGACATTCCGGCAGGACCTGGGGGCGAGCCGTCTCCTCCACCTCAGCAAGGCACGCTCGCTCGCACGCTCGCACGCTCGCTCAGTCACTCGCTCGCTCAGTCACTCACTCACTCGGTCACGCACTCGGTCACTCACTCACTCGCTCAGTCACTCACTCGCTCACTCGCTCAGTCACTCACTCGCTCGCTCGCTCGCTCGCTCAGTCACTCACTCGCTCGGTCACTCGCTCGCTCAGTCACTCACTCGCTCGCTCAGTCACTCACACACTCACTCACTCACTGACTCGCTCAGTCACTCACTCACTCGCTCGCTCACTTAGTCACTCGTGGTGGTGCTGCTGCTGGTGGTGCTGCTGGTGTTGGTGCTGATGGTGGTGGTGGTAGTGCTGGTGGTGCTGGTGGTGGTGGTGGTGTTGGTGCTGATGGTGCTGGTGGTGGTGGTGCTGGTGGTGGTGCTGCTGGTGTTGGTGCTGATGGTGGTGGTGGTGGTAGTGCTGGTGGTGCTGGTGCTGGTGGTGGTGGTGCTGGTGCTGGTGGTGGTGGTGGTGGTGCTGGTGTTGGTGCTGATGGCGCTGCTGCTGGTGTTGGTGCTGATGGTGGTGGTGTTGGTGCTGGTGTTGGTGCTGATGGTGGTGCTGGTGGTGGTGGTGGTGCTGGTGCTGGTGGTGGTGGTGGTGGTGCTGATGGTGCTGCTGGTGGTGGTGCTGATGGTGTTGGTGCTGATGGTGCTGCTGGTGGTGGTGCTGCTGGTGTTGGTGCTGATGGTGGTGCTTGTGGTGTTGGTGGTGCAGGAGCAGCTGCTGATGCACCGCTGGCGCTACCCGTCGCTGTCGCTGCACGGCATTGAGGGAGCCTTCTCGGAGCCGGGCTCCAAGACGGTGATCCCTCGGCGCGTCATCGGCAAGTTCAGCATCCGCCTCGTGCCAGACATGGACCCCCTGCACGTCGAGAAGCAGGTGCCTCCTGCTCATCCTGCTGCTCATCCTGATCCTGATCCTGCTGCTCATCCTGCTGCTCATCCCGCTCATCCTGCTGCTCATCCTGCTGCTCATCCTGCTGCTCATCCTGATCCTGATCCTGCTGCTCATCCTGCTGCTCATCCTGCTGCTCATCCTGCTGCTCATCCTGCTGCTCATCCTGCTGCTCATCCTGCTGCTCATCCTGCTCATCCTGCTCATCCTGCTGCTCATCCTGATCCTGATCCTGCTCATCCTGCTGCTCATCCTGCTCATCCTGCTCATCCTGCTGCTCATCCTGATCCTGATCCTGCTCATCCTGCTCATCATGCTCATCCTGCTGCTCATCCTGCTCATCCTGCTGCTCATCCTGCTCATCCTGCTGCTCATCCTGCTGCTCTCATGCTCATCCTGCTCATCCTACTCATCCTGCTGCTCATCCCGCTCATCCTGCTCATCATGCTCATCCTGCTGCTCATCATGCTCATCATGCTGCTCATCCTGCTCCTGCTGCTCATCCTGCTCATCCTGCTCATCCTGCTCATCCTGCTCATCCCGCTCATCCTGCTCATCCTGCTCATCCTGCTCATCCTGATCCTGATCCTGCTCATCCTGCTCATCCTGCTCATCCTGCTCATCCTGCTGCTCATCCTGCTGCTCATCCTGCTCATCCTGCTGCTCATCCCGCTCATCCTGCTGCTCATCCTGCTGCTCTCATGCTCATCCTGCTCATCCTACTCATCCTGCTGCTCATCCTGCTGCTCATCCCGCTCATCCTGCTCATCATGCTCATCCTGCTGCTCATCATGCTCATCATGCTGCTCATCCTGCTCCTGCTGCTCATCCTGCTCATCCTGCTCATCCTGCTCATCCCGCTCATCCTGCTCATCCTGCTCATCCTGCTCATCCTGCTCATCCTGCTCATCCTGATCCTGATCCTGCTCATCCTGCTCATCCTGCTCATCCTGCTCATCATGCTCATCCTGCTGCTCATCCTGCTCATCCTGCTGCTGATCCTGCTCATCCCGCTCATCCTGCTCATCCTGCTCATCCTGCTGCTCATCCCGCTCATCCCGCTCATCCTGCTCATCCTGCTCATCCTGCTGCTGATCCTGCTACTCCTGCTCATCCTGCTCATCCTGCTCATCCTGCTCATCCTGCTGCTCATCCTGCTGCTCATCCTGCTGCTCATCCTGCTCATCCCGCTCATCCTGCTGCTCATCCTGCTCATCCCGCTCATCCTGCTGCTCATCCTGCTCATCCCGCTCATCCTGCTCATCCTGCTGATCCTGCTCATCCTGCTCATCCCGCTCATCCCGCTCATCCCGCTCATCCTGCTCATCCTGCTCATCCTGCTCATCCCGCTCATCCCGCTCATCCCGCTCATCCCGCTCATCCTGCTGCTCATCCTGCTGCTCATCCTGCTGCTCATCCTGCTCATCCTGCTGCTCATCCTGCTCATCCTGATCCTGCTGCTCATCCTGATCCTGCTGCTCATCCTGCTCATCCTGCTCATCCTGCTCATCCTGCTCATCCTGCTGCTCATCCTGCTCATCCTGCTGCTCATCCTGCTGCTCATCCTGCTCATCCTGCTCATCCTGCTCATCCTGATCCTGCTGCTGATCCTGCTGCTGCTGATCCTGCTCCTCCTGCTGCTGCTGCTGATCCTGCTACTCCTGCTGCTGCTGATCCTGCTACTGATCCTCCTACTGATCCTGCTGCTGATCCTGCTGATGCTCTCCCCCCTCTTCCCCTTCCTACTCCCAACCTTCTCAGCCCCTTGCTCCCTCCTCCTCTCTGTGTCTGTGTGTGTGTCTATGTGTGTGTCTGTGTGTGTCTGTGTGTCTGTGTGTGTGTGTCTGTGTGTGTGTGTCTGTGTGTGTGTCTGTGTGTGTGTGTCTGTGTGTGTGTGTGTGTCTGTGTGTATGTGTGTGTCTGTGTGTGTCTGTATGTGTGTCTGTGTGTGTCTGTGTGTGTGTGTCTGTGTGTGTGTCTGTGTGTGTCTGTGTGTGTGTCTGTGTGTGTGTGTCTGTGTGTGTCTGTGTGTGTGTCTGTGTGTGTCTGTATGTGTGTGTCTGTATGTGTGTCTGTGTGTGTGTCTGTGTGTGTCTGTGTGTGTGTGTGTCTGTGTGTGTGTGTTTGTGTGTGTGGAGCGATAGTGTAGCGGTTAGCACGCTGCGCTATGAACCTGGCGACCCGGGTTCGATTCCCGCTCACGGCCAACACCAGTGACGATTATCTGAACTGGTCCCGGGGCCTCCCACTAGGTCGACTCAGCCTCAAATGAGTACCTGGTGCAGTGTGTAAACATCGCCACTAGGGAGACAAAGGCGGTCGGGCGTGGTGCTGGCCACCCACCCCCTCGTGTACCGTTCCGGCTTTCATAGGTGCTCGCTAACAGCACTTGCCCCTACAGTCTGTTAAGGCTATATGGGGGATCTTTTTATCTTTGTTGTGTGTTTGTGTGTGTATATGAATGTGTCTGTGTGTGTGTTTGTGTGTGTGTATATGAATGTGTGTGTGTGTGTATATGAATGTGTGTGTGTATATGAATGTGTGTGTGTATATGAATGTGTGTGTGTGTATATGAATGTGTGTGTATATGAATATGTGTGTGTGTATATATGAATGTGTGTGTGTATATGAATGTGTGTGTGTATATGAATGTGTGTGTGTATATGAATGGGTGTGTGTGTATATGAATGTGTGTGTGTGTATATGAATGTGTGTGTGTGTATATGAATGTGTGTATATGAATGTGTGTGTGTATATGAATGTGTGTGTGTATATGAATGTGTGTGTATATGAATGGGTGTGTGTGTGTATATGAATGGGTGTGTGTGTGTATATGAATGTGTGTGTGTATATGAATGTGTGTGTGTATATGAATGTGTGTGTGTATATGAATGTGTGTGTATATGAATGTGTGTGTGTGTATATGAATGTGTGTGTATATGAATGTGTGTGTATATGAATGTGTGTGTATATGAATGTGTGTATATGAATGTGTGTGTGTGTGTATATGAATGTGTGTATATGAATGTGTGTATATGAATGTGTGTGTGTGTATATATATGAATGTGTGTGTGTATATGAATGGGTGTGTGTGTGTGTGTGTATATGAATGTGTGTATATGAGTGTGTGTATGTGTGTGTGTGTGCCGTGTAGGTGAAGGCTCACCTGCAGGCTGCGTTCGATGAGCGGCAGAGCCCCAACAAGTTGAGCGTCTCTATGGGGCACGGTGCACGCGCCTGGGTCGCAGACGTCAACCATCCCCACTACATGGCCGGGCGACGTGCCGTCAAGACCGGTGCTCACCCACTCGCCCGCTCGCTCGCTCGCCCACCCGCTCGCCCACTCGCTCACTCTCTCACTCACCCACTCACCCACCCACCCGCTCGCTCGCCCACCCGCTCGCCCAATCGCTCACCCGCTCACTCAACCGCTCGCTCGCCCACTCGCTCGCTCACTCAACCGCTCGCTCACTCAACCGCTCGCTCGCTCACTCAACCGCTCGCTCGCTCACTCACCCACTCACCCACCCACTCGCTCGCTCGCCCACCCGCTCGCCCACTCGCCCACTCGCTCACTCGCCCACTCGCTCGCTCACTCAACCGCTCGCTCACTTGCCCACTCGCTCACTCACTCAACCGCTCGCTCGCTCACTCAACCGCTCGCTCACTCGCCCACTCGCTCACTCACTAAACCGCTCACTCACTCAACCGCTCGCTCGCTCACTCAACCGCTCGCTCACTCGCCCACTCGCTGACTCACTAAACCGCTCGCTCACTCAACCGCATCTCAGTCCGGTCATCTCAGTCAGCCGACCCGTGGCACCTGCTGGGTCTGTCCCGAGACCTCCTCCTGCCGGCAGGCAGCCTTCGACACTTCACGTGGTAGCCTCAGGGTGCACCTAGCCTGGCACAGGCGTCGTGCTGACGTCACCGCCACCCGGTGGCGAACGGCGGCTGTTGTTGTTGTGTGCGTGTGTGTGCACCAGTGTAGCCGCTCGCTAGCAGCACTTGTCCCAAAAGTGTGCTGAGGCTATTCGGGGGACCTTTGTCTTTTTATTTGTGCCAGCGTTTGGGGTGGAGCCGAACTTTGACGCGTGATGCGAGGTTCGATTCGCCGCTCACGGCCAACACCACCAGCGACGATTATCTGAACCGGTCCCGGGGCCTCCCACTAGGTCGACTCAGCCTCAAACGAGTACCTGGTGTGGTGCGTAGTAAAGGCCGCCATTGGGGGGAGACAAAGGCGGCCGGGCGTGGTGCTGGCCACCCAAGCCCTGGTGTGCCGTGCCGGCCTTCATAGGGTGCTGCTCGCTAACAGCACTTGCCCCCTACAGTCTGTTAAGGCTACACGGGGGATCTTTGTGTGTGTGTGTGTACCTCAAATATTGGAGGAGGAAGTGACCCCCTGTGAGTGACTGGCTGAGGTGCCATCTGCTGAGGAAGTACTGAAGGCGATCTGGAGTCTGAGACCGGGAAAGGCACCGGGCAGAGATGATCTCCCAAGCGACATGCTGAGGGAGGGTGGCGTTTGTGCACAGACTGCCC